TAGTTTGGACATGATAAATCTAGAAGTGGGTAGTTAAAGGATTTTTTTTAGGCTTATAAGGAATTATTGAAAAATGTACTGTAAAGATGTTTTCAGTAGACATTTATAACATGTATATTAAGCATTACAGTTTTTCTTATTATCCTGCCGCTAGAAAACTGGAAATCTTGAAAGTTAAGAACATTTTTATAAAAATCCTATAAACATATCAGAGAACATTAAAGGAGTTCCAGAATTTCTGTAAACAGCATAACTGCTTTCAGATTCCCTGTTTTTGTTTTTTGAGCAAGGTAATTTTTATTGAACAAAACTTCCTTAGAAAGATGTGAGAGGAGAGAGTAGGAGGGGAAATAGGTGTGGGATAAACAAGCCAAGAAGCCTAGAGACAAGCAAATAAGATACGTGTTCAAGGGAGAACCTGGGCTTGAAGAGCAAGCCTACCCTGTCTTAGGTAAAGAATCAGGATCTGGTTTTGCCTTTTTAGTTAGGTTCCTTGAAAATAACTGATGACGGAAGCATGTGAATAACAGCAAATTTGCTCTCCAGGTGCAATTTCTTAAACTTCCTCTCATTTTCCATTTGGAGTATGATTCTATTACTGAGTACCAGAGTGATAAGTGAGGAAATAATTTAAATTTAAGAATATTTATTTTGGGGAGAGTGCTTCCCAGTAGCACTTGGTGGCCCGTGAGAGTGCTACTCCTCCATCATATTCAGTTCTCTAGGCTTGGGCCCCATGTGGTGCTACTTAGTGATGCTAGGGCCCACTAGAAACACCTGGGGGTGCTCAGGAGCCACAGAGCCAAAGTCAGAAATGCCAGGGAAGATCATGCATTACCAAGGATTGAACACAACACGTTGTGCGTGAATGTGCTCCAGTCCTTTGAGCTATTTTCGTGACCCCAAGATTGTTCACTTTTGTAAGCAACCTTGAAGTGCTTTCAGTAATGATCTATCATATACGTTGCTAGCAATATAGCACAAGCCTCCCAGTGATTATATATGTGCATGTATGTATGTGTGTGTATATACATATACGTATACGTATATGTATATGGATTGGATTATGTTAAAATCAACCCCAGTTTTTCTTTGTAGTATTGGTAGAAATTGTTATATTTTAGAGTGAGGGTCATGGTCAGGATGAGAACATGATCAGAATGTCACTGACCTTTGACCACATTGTTGATCTAGTCTCCAGAAGGTAACATGGGGATCATTTGAGTGAAAACATTTACATCAACCTGAAGAATGTCTTCAGGCATAAAAGAAATATGTGGAGTGGGCTGCAAAATACTTTTATCATCTCAGAGATGACATGCCCAGTGATGGCTGTTTGCTTGACACAAATTTATAAAAATTTAAACCTTAGCTTTAGAGAAACTAATCTCAGTTAGTTGGCACAACTGAGGTTTTACAGAAGATACAGACACAACTATTGAAGTTTTATTGACTATTAACTTGAGAATTTTAACTTAAGGGACTCTTCTAAAGAGTAGACAGATCCAAAGTGAAATTATGGCCAAATTCTTAGCAGTGTCTAGATTGCATTTTTTCATAGTAATTCTCTCACTAGAGATATATAGTCTTGGTTCTTGATATAAGAAAATTATGTTCTCTGGAAAGAAAGATGGCGGCCGCACGGGAGCCTTGTGGACAGCAGGTTTGAGCCGGGGGTGGGAGCGGCAGGGACCTCATGGGAAGGGGGGCGTAATGGGCCGTCCTTCACGCCCGACCGAGGTCGCCAGCTGCCCACCACGAGTGGCTCTCCGGCACAGCCACGGCCCCGGAGGCACAAGGACTTAGCACAGAGAGCCACCCGCTTGGAGCAGAAAAGCAAATGGACTATGTGTTAAACTGCGCCAGCATGCCTGCCCAGAAGGGAAAGGGTGTTGACCCACTCGCCCGCTCCTCTCTGGAAAGAAAGATGGCGGCCGCACAGGAGCCTTGTGGACAGCAGGTTTGAGCCGGGGGTGGGAGCGGCAGGGACCTCATGGGAAGGGGGGCGTAATGGGCCATCCTTCACGCCCAACCGAGGTCACCAGCTGCCCCCCACGAGTGGCTCTCTGGCACGGCCACGACTCCAGAGCACAGAAACCAATCTCTTAACTATCTAACTTTTAATAGAAATTCTTCCAGGGTTAATAAGTAAAATAGTAGAAATTCAAAACCATGCGGCCGCTATTGCGGCCGCGCAACATCATTTTATTCTTAAACCAAGTTGTAGAAAGCAAATCATTTCACAATGCTGTTTCAGCATGTCTGATTGGGGGGGGTCGTAAACTCTAAACAATAATTGTGCATCTTCTATCGAAACAATCTATCTAGTCAAAGTAGATAGAGTATTAACTAGAACTCATCTGCCTCACAGGAATTGGGAGGGGTGGGAGGTGGGGTTCTATTGGGGTTCGCGGTTAAAAATAAGTATTGGTAAAGGGAAATGTGTTTGATATTTACATGACTGAGACCTAAACCCGAAAGCTCTGTAACTTTTCCCACGGTGATTCAATAAAGAAAGAAATTTTAAAAAAAAAGAAAATTATGTGAAATATAAACTGAGAGTTCCCCCATAATACTTCAAAAACATATTTTAACTCAATTCTATGACAACCTACTAAATGTATCCATTCTAGTCAGATTATATAATTTGTAGCCAACTTTGCATTTTTCTAGAAGAAATGACATGATCAATTTAAATATCTAGGTGATTGCTGTTTTTGTCAAAGATCTTCAGCCTTCTCTTCAATCAGACTTCTCAGTGTATTTTACAAGTACAAAAACATATCAGTTTTGTGTGTATCCTCTCTCTACTCCCATCTTGTAGGTACCTAGTTTATTTAACTGCAGCCACACTTACATAAAAAACTTCAGCAGAAACCTTTCATCTCAGTTCTAATGAATTCCTCATAGTTTACTATTCTGTTACCAGTGCCTTTTTTAAAAATTGTTTTGTTTTGGGGCCACACCCAGTGAAACTCCTGGTTCTGCAGTCAGGAATTAATCCTAGCTGTGCTCAGGCGACCATATGCATTGCCGGGAATCAAACTAGGTTGGCCATGTGAAAGGCATGTGTCCTACCCGCTATACTATTTCTCTGGTCCATCTATTCACAGTCTCTTGAACAGTATCTGGTATATGTTTGCCCTCAAACTGTTGTGCAAAGATACTCAAAAGATCTGCTTTCTAATTTCAATTCTGTATCTCTGACTCTAAATAAGATACTTCTTAGGACTTTAGTGTTCTCACCTGGACAACAAAAATGTCAAGTGTAAGTTTTGGCCAAATAATAGTTCTCTAAAATAATAAAAATTTTGTGATATAGTTAATGAATGAATTTCAAAGAGTTTTTCCAATAAAACTAATGTATTTTTCAATGTTATACTTGCTAATAAAAATGTGGGAGGGGGTAGCTGGAGCAATAGCACAGCAGGTTTGTTTCCCAGCATCCCATATGGTCCCCTGAGCACCACCAGGAGTAATTCCTGAGTGCAGAGCCAGAAGTAACCCCTGTGCATCGCCAGGTATGACCCAAAAAGAAAAAAAAAAATGTGTGTGAGGACTGAAAAGACAGTACAGTGGGTAAAGCATTTGCCTTGAAAATATACAAAAAGATAAATCACTGCTAATTGAAAAGTTCCTTTTTGAGAATAAATTTTATTCTAAGAAAAAATAAGTTATGTCCTTTTTATAAGTCAGCCTTATATTCTGATGTCTAATATTTTTCTTGTATAATTATTACTAACTTTAAGATAAAAGGTTACTTATGTCAAAGGGAAATAAGGTTTAAAAGATGTGAAACATTTCATCCTTAAGTGCTACAATCACTTCTATATTACATTACACAGAGGAAAGAATATATGCATTCTATGGCCTATGGGCATGAGGGTTGCTGTTACAGGAAAACATAACATTTTACACTTTAAATTTATTTTTAATATGAAAAAAATTCTATGGTCAAAAATTAAGAATTTATAGTTTATGTATGGGATGGGGTTGGGGTCAGACAAACTTAGAATGTTTGGGGTTTTAAGTTGTTCTTTCACTCGTTACTTTGAAAAGAAATCGGTTTTTAGAGTGGATTTGCATTTCTTTTTATTAAGCACTTTCATTTTTCCCAACTTGAAAATAATTGTATGACACAAAGTTTAGAAATCACTATCCCCAGAACTCTTAACAAGTCGCAGCCAGTCTCAGAGTCAAATGAGTTCTTCCTGATTAGTTTGTGAGCAGTTTATTCTTCAAACATTACAGCAGATTCAAATGTATGCGGAAGACAACATCACTCTTTACCACTTCTATTCTAGGGTGAATATTGAATAAGAGGGAAAAGGATGGAGGTAGAGCTGTCACACTGGGCTGTGACATGTATATATCATCTTTCATTGGTGAAAATGGAGGAAAATGTGGAGAACTTCTTTACTATGTTGGTGTACATGTTCTCAACACCCCTTTGGTGTGACACGACACACACATGCTCATTCTGTACCTTACAAAAGTAGTGAAAACATTAGGGAAACCTTTTTTTTTTTTTAAATGATGACTTGAGAATTTAAAGAATACTTCTATATGTACTTACCTGTTATATATTTGGCAATTCTGTCATGATACCATGACATAAAAACTCCATATTAAACTTTGTGATCTGCCTGATTCAGAAGCTAAAAAAGAAATTTTTTTTTTTTTTGCTTTGAGATTTTTAATTTCACAATAAAAGAAGGTCCTATTTAATTGTATGGCAATGTAAATTTCTGGAAGCTAAAGAATTTTCTAGCCTACCACATGTTACTAGAAATTATTTCTGTAAGGATGGATTTTGTTTTTTTAAGACTCTAAATATATTTGAGTAATTTGAATTTATAGGCAGTGTTTTATACAAGAAAAATTCATGTAAAAGCCAGTCATGTGAAAATGAATGACTTGTTCTAGAGTGTTCCTAAATCTGTTTTTGAATAGTTCAAATATTGAAGGTGTTTTTTGTTTTATTACTTTTTTATTATAAGGTATTATGAGCTGGATCCTTACAAAAGTCTCCTTGACAATTTGAGGAACAAAGTAATCATTGAATACCCAACATTACATGTGGTCTTAAAAGAATTCAGCAATGACATGAAAATTCTACACCAAGGTAAGTGTAAATGTCTTGCTGTAATGCTTAATTCTAGTGAAGCCTGAAGAATTACATGACTGCTGTATATTTTCTCACTACATTTAAATACTTTATACTATTTATTCTATAGAATAACTGTAGTTATAACTACAGTTAATACTATAAAAGGACCATAGTGAATAAACTGGAGCTTCTATTTGATAGCATGTAAAATTAAAATATCAAGTTTAAATGAGTCCATTTGAATTCTGACTATAAAAGCATATTGTTTTCCTTATTGGAGTTGTGTTGTTTTTATCTTTTAAATATTTTTTTTGTTTGGAGCGATAGCACAGAGATAGGGCATTTGCCTTGCATGCAGCCGGCCCGGCCCACCAGGGTTCAATTCCTCCGCCCCTCTCGAAGAGCCGGGCAAGCTACCTGTGCCGTATTCGATATGCCAAACACAGTAACAACATGTCTCACAATGGAGATGTTACTGGGCCCACTCAAGCAAATCGATGATCAACGGGAGTACAGTGCTACAGAATGAACTTGTCTTTAAGTTTTATTCCTTAAAAATAATCCATACTTTTTGCTTTATTTTATATGCAGGAAATCCAGAGAAGGATGTGGAAACTATTAGCATAATGTCTTTTATTATTAATATATTGAGATGGAATCAATTTATAAGAGCATAAGCTGCATATTTGTGGGTCCAGAGTTACCAAACCACACCAATCACCAGTTTTTTAAGCTTTCAGAAATAGTTTGTCCATGATGATATTGATTCCTTTTAGAGATTCCTGAAATGAGAGATTATAAAGCATTTTTAGCGTTCTATCAAAAGAAATACTATAAGGAACATTAAAAATTTGAATAATATTTAGTTTAAGGTGATGTCATTGTCTTATCCCTTTACCTCTTTTTTTTTTAAAACCCATTGGTTTTATTTTCTTCAACTTTCACGTTGTTTCCTTGACAATTTGGCATTTTCGTGATTCATTAAAGTAATTTTTCCCGAGGCAATCTAAATGCAGACCATTGCTCTCATTTTTCCTGAGGGCAATCTAAATGCAAACCCAAACGCCCTGCCAGGAGGGATCCCTGAGCACCACTGCGTGTAAGCCAAAGATAGCGGTAGGACGTTTGTCTTGCGCGCAGCCAGCCCGGCAGAGCTGGGTTCAATTCCTCCTGCCCGTCTCAGAGAGCCCGGCAAGCTACCAAGAGTATCTCGCCCACATGGCAAGCCCTGGCAAGCTACCTGTATAAAATATGCCAAACACAGTAACAAGTCTCAAAATGGAGACGTTACTGGGCCCGCTCGAGCAAATCGATGAACAACGGGAAGACAGTGACAGTGACATTTAAGTAAATATTTTTTCTCTATAGAGTAGTAAAGCAGGAAATGTCATAACTAGGAAAAGATAGACATACAGTATTCTTGTATAAACATTGCCCTAGTTTACAGTTACTGCTTCCAAAAAGAATGTTTCTGAATACAGTTTCTAGAGAATGATTAAAACTCTGAAATTACTTTTTAAAAGGCAAGGAAGCTACTTGTCTAATTCAAAACTATTAGATGCCACTTCAGCTGAAAATTATAGGTAAAAGCCACGTTTCATTGTAGTAAACTTCAGAGGATGTATGGAATTTGTGTGTTGGATTGAATTTTTTTTTCTAATGTTAGTGAATTTGCAGTCAAAGAGGCCAAAATTTTATCAGTGCCTCAGTTTGAAATTTTGCTTTTGAAAAAATTTTTAATTAGTGAACATGAGATGTCTAATAATAAATCATGGGCTGGCTTCTAAATCTATAGAATAAATCTTAACTATATTTATTTCATAATTTAAGAGGATATATATTTTGATTTTCTCAAATTAGAAACTTCAGTTTTAAATAAGCCCTTTTGATTTTTCTGAACTTATGTGTAAGATCATACTTTTTTCCTTAGTAGTTCTCTCTCAACATTGGTTTCAGGGAAAGTTGTTTAGTAATGTGGGTTACTAGCCATGGCAAACATAGTCTGTGTAAATAAACACAGCACACACAGATCCTCTTTTACCTTGTTTGGGAATGCACATTGAATTTAAGACTTCCTGTAACCAAGCAAAGGATAAGGCTACTTTTGTAGTGTACTTGGAACAACCTTATGAAGTAAAATTTGCTATTTTCTATTAGGTATATGTTTGACTTATTTACAGGAAGCACAGGTGATTTGTGCTTTCAGTATAAAAGATCATTTATAACTAGAAATGCTGAATAAAATTGTGAACTAAAGGGAATCTGACAGAATTTTCAAGAGCATTTTTTAATTGTCCCATAAATATACCTTTAAAATAATTCCAAATCTTCATACATATACATTGTTTTATATAAGCTCTTGAAAGTGTCTATTTCTTTTTACTTCCTTACTGAATTGGGTACCCTATAGGGTGGTCCGTGAAGGCATAAGGAGAGTTATATAGACACAAAGCATTTTCTTTGGAAAAAACCTCGAATTCTTCAGCTCTCGAAAGGCAAAAGAGGCCAGGTTTTGTTGTTGAATTCATAGCACAAGGTATCTGTGTTCTGGTGTGGAGGAAAGTGTGTTTCTGGGCTGAAATTTAGCAGTTTTCACACTTGGTGATTATTTTTATATTTATTATGATTACAGAGTACCATCATTTTTTTTATATAATTCTGCCTATATTGATGGACAGCTGGCAAGTTTTGTCTCTGCTTTTTAAGAAATAAAGCTGACTGAAAGATTTAATAAGTATTCAAGGTAGCCCAAAAAGATCAAGATGTAGAGGTGCCAGTCGCTAACATTGAGTCAGTCCAGTGGGAAGTGCTCAGAATGATAGTGCTTGCTCTACAGGCACTTATTTAAATGCCAGTTAGCTGCTGATGGTGATGACTTGATAGTGCTTGTTATATTTCAGTCTAAGGCAAAGGGATATAGTATAGCACTGTATAGCACTGTCCTCCCGTTGTTCATCAATTTGCTCGAGCGGGCACCAGTAACGTCTCACAACAAATTGTGAGACTTCTTACTGTTTTTGGCATATCGAATACATCACAGGGAACTTGCCAGGCTTTGCCATGTGGGTGAGATACTCTCAGGAGCTTGACGGGCTCTCCAAGAGGGGTTGAGAAATTGAACCCGGGTAGACCGTGTGCAAGGCAAACGCCCTACCTGCTATAGCTCCAGCCCAAAAGGGATCTATTTTTAAAAAAAAAAAAAAAAGAAAGAAAAAACTAGGCAAGTACAGTGATCAAAGAAAGGGAAAAGCATCCTCCCACACTGCACTGCCAAGTAGTACAGAGCCTCATTAATTTAAAAGTTAGGCAAAAATACATTTTTTGTTGTAATACAACTCCAAGATAGGATGCTTCTGGATTTTGAAAAGGAATCAGCCCAAACTGATTACATGCATTGTATACAAATATGTGGCATAGCAGCCATTCACACACTAGCCTTCTTTTGTTGTCGTTTTACCAAGGGGGGGGGGGGGGAGTGTATCTTACCCTGTACCCCCAGTGATATCCGCCAATTAGGCTGGTCATTCTAGGTCTAAGCCTGAGGAGGTGGTGCTGAGAATTACCTCAGCAGTGCTCCAGGCTTCCAGTACCACATCTAGAAGTGTTTGGAGAACCTCCAGAATTGCCACCTGGCAACTCTGGACACCATGTTGTATAGGAGATTGAACAGGGTGTCAGCCGCATGCTAGCTGGCTATAGGCCCTTCAGGCTTCTCCATGTACTGCTTTCCTTATCACAGTGAAGATACAATAGTAATCAAAACAGTCTGTTGAAACCGTGACAATTTCGTACAATTACTAGTTATTCCTTTCCTTATAGAAAAATCAGGTTCTCTTGTTTCCTATTTCGTAGTCTATTAAAAAATCTAAAAGTGGAATAGCTTGTTGTCACAGTGATTCAGCAGACCTGCCAGATTTACTGGTAGCAGTGGAGGGAAGAAAGGCATCGTCTCCATCCTCCAGGAATCATTTTCAGTTCAGTGGGTGAATCTGTCTGCTTGCTTGGCAAGACAGCTCCTTTAAAGAAAAGCCCTATTTCTGCTCTGACTTCTTTCCTGTAAAAGGACAGAAATGGTGATTACCTAGTCTTTTGTCAACCCACATTCACTCAACATACACTGACCCTCAATTTTAAGTTTAAAAATATGGAAAATTTTATTCCAGTCATATTTGGTCAGCCTATGTGATAGCAAACTATTCAGTGGTGCAAGCTTGGGATCATAACCACACTGTTAAGTGACCATTCCCAAGTGACCATTCCCAAGTCTTCAGCAAAGTCAAGAAGGATGTTACCTCACGAAATATAATTGCCACTCTTAGACATTATCTCTCTGTTTATTGTAGTGAAAATTGTATATCCCAGCTGCCTGGGACATGCCATGGTTTGTACCATGAGCAGTTCCGTTGGTATGCATCAGAAGGGACGAAAAACAATATGCCAAAGAGAAACAGTATAAACACTTGACTTTATATTTGCTCTCTTCTCTCCCCTCTCTCCCCCCCAATCCCCCCCTCCCCCCCCCCAGGGAAAAGTGAATCTGTCAGGAACATCACTAATGAAAAGTAAGTCCTTCTGGAGGAGGAAGAAGGTGGAAATTTCCAGACTTTGCAGAGGACTATGCATTGACTAGCCTCATGGATGCCTGGGATATTGTTGGGCGCTTGACATTTTTTGTTTGTCTGAAAAGTAATTAAACAATTCAAGTTATACATACACACACCAATATTTTTGGTTGCTGATTGGCATAGTGCTTATTTTACTATACTTAAATCTGTAGTCTTAAAACTTTTTTTCCATGGTTCGAAATAAGAGCACCGCTGTATGAGTCACAAGTTTGCTTTCTCTTTAGTGGAATTCTCCAGAAACATGCAACATGCCATAAAGCCACGGGATGACTGACCCATTAGTTGCTCATTCTAATGTCAGAATTATATATGATATAATAACCTTTATATGTGATATTACCTGTCATGACAACTGAGTGGATCTTTCATGCTTGCACAGCAGACATTACAATGTCCTCTGTTCAAGGCTGAATAAATATTACTAACTATAATGTCTTATGTCCAGTGCAGAAAATCAATGGCTCCAGGTTGTTGTTTGAATTATCTGTGCTCATGGATTTGGCTCTACTTGTTCACACAGTGAGCTGTGACTTATTAAGAATTCTGTACCTTTCATCCCATTCCCATTCCACTCTTGTCATTACCACACAGGGGTGTTGTGATGAGCAGTTTTATGCCATGTTTTGAAATAGCTAGCAATAACTAAAACAGAAACATTTGAAGCTCTTCAAAGGAATGTATATGTGTATTTATGTATATTCATGGTTTAATTTATATCTTATGGCAGCTCTGTGTACATTATGATCTCACATACTGGAATTAAAGTTTCCTAGTTTTATTGGAATTTATACGGTTATGAAATTGCAATATGACTATAAAAGAGTAAAAGATTATTACATCTGCATTGCATCTGTGTACTTAATGGTTACAAAAGCAATGATAAAATTGGAAAATTGGGGTAAATTTTTGACCAGAAAGAAGCAAGAGGCAGTAATTGAAGAGTCCTAAGAAGATAAGAAAAATGAAAACATAATGAGAAGATGAACATGGGAAAACTTAAATCACTTGTATCACTTGTAATCCTATTATTCATCGATTTGCTCGAGTGGGCACCAATAACGTCTCCATTCATCCCTGTCACATGCTAGTGTAGCCCAGTGGCATCGGCTCGTTCCAGGAACACAAAGAGCCTCAAACCGTTTATTCAGGGTTTTGACGAAGAAGTCTGACCATCTTGTAGGTGGGCAGCCACGTGATCTTTTGACATCTTGTGGAATCCAGTCGGTAACAGCTCTAGTCCAGCGGTCTTCTCCAAATCACATTACATGTCCGGCCCATCTGATTTTCGACGCCTTGAGCATCCCTGATTATCAATCGTCAACGGAGGTCGGAACTCCGAATTCCTTCTCTCACTTGAGTGAAATATGATATTCCAAGCATAGCTCTTTTAATTCCTCTTTGGGATATCCGAATAGCGTTCTCGTCCTGTTTTCATAGGGCCCAGGTCTCTGAGGCATATGTTAGTGCAGAGAACTTAAATAACACAATATAACTTGGGGTAGAAAGTGGAGAAAAATGCAAAAGCAACAGTGCCACAAAAACTCTGGTGGAGGGGCCAGAGTGGTGGTAACAGCAGGTAGGGCATTTGCTTTACATGTGACCAACCTAGGTTCAATCCCTGCCATTCATTCCCCACAGTCCTCCCCATGCACTAAGAGGAGTAGTCCCTGAACACAGAGCCAGGAGTAATCCCTGGGCACAGCTGGGTGTGGCCAAAAAAACCCAAAATCAAAAACCCCTGGTGGAATAGAACAGTGAAAATAACAATGTTTCATAGAAAATAAAGCCTTACAATTTGTGGAATATATAGCAACCAACTTCAAGAATCTTGTATTAAAAAAAAGAGTTTGTTAAAATTATTCACTATTGCCGGAGAAAGAAATGAAAATAAAACTGCTTTTATTTAATCTAAATAGAATTTCAAAGGATTTGCGTTGAATTTTAAACTGAAATTTATTCAACAGTTAAGAAATAGGGCAAAATGACTCAAATGTGTTAGAATTATCACTGGAAAAAGTGGGATAAAGTACATATGCACAAGTAATTGTTTCTTGAATATCAGGGTGGAGAGGAATTTCCTGATAATGAAATCTGTTATGATGTAGTATGATTTCCAGGAAAACTGTTGAATTCTGTCCTTTCTCTAGAATTTAAGCTGAAAGCTGGACATAGCCCAAGGATTTATCCTGCACTTCCCCCTTGCCCAAAGGAAAAAAACCAAAAAGCTACATGATCTAATGCATTGTTTCCGTGTACATTGCCTAGAATTCTATTAGATTTTTATAAATTGTTCCTTAGGAACGTATTGAGCTAGCAGTTCGCCATAAATAAATCTATCAGCTCACTTGATTAATATGCACATTCATTCCCACATGATTTGCAATAAACATGTGTTTCAATGAATAACCATGTCAGCTGCTTAGAGGGGGTGAAATTGGAATAATTCAGAGAGCCCTCACAGTTTTTAGTATTAAGATCCATTTTCTTTTTTTAGAAGCCCTTTCCATTTTGGATTCTTAACAAATTCTTATGAATAAACAAACTCCCTGTCCATGTTAAGTTCAAGAGTCTGCATTTCGTTCACAAATCACATTTTTTTAAAGTTCTGTTTTTTATAGAAAAGTTCCACCTGGGCTGCTTTATTTTTTAAATGATGATTTCAAAGGGAGTTAAGTTTTTCATATTGATGACTACTAAATATGGGATTCATTGCCATAAATTAAAATAAGCAAAGCTTGTGCCTGTTCACATTACAGATGTGAGCCGAAGAGTTAGTTTAGGGACTCTAGAAATAGTACAGTGAGTAGGGCACTTGCCATGCCTGTGGTCAGCTTTGGTTCAATCCCGGGTACCCCATATTGCTCTCTGTTAGAAGTGATCACTGAGCACAGAGCCACGGGAAAATCCTGAGTACTGTCAGATGTGGCCCAAAAATCAAAAAAAGAGATAATAGATACTTAAGATGGTGTAGCTAGTTTGTTTCTAAATAGCAAGTAGTGAGATTCAGTCTTCATGAAAAAGCCTCTGACTACAATGCCAATTTTCTTTATATATTTTGCTTAATTTTATATACTTGGTATTGAGATATAATGTACCCACTCATCACTATAGAATGTGTTGAATCTGATTCCATATTTGTCATTAAGTTCTATAAAACCTAGCCTGCTTTTATTTAATCAAACTATCATTCAATACTTTCTGCTAGTATGTAGTTCAGGTTGTTTAGTACAATTATCCTTTCGTCGCAGGTAACAGACTCGAACTTTCACTACTAAAGGGTCGCAGGTAACAGACTCGAACTTTCAATACTAAGGATAATGTATCAGTTTATTAGTTCAACTTTGACTGAATACAAACACCACTAGAGGCTTGCTTTCTGTTTCCATACTTGGCTTGGTTCACGTCCACCCGCACCCATGGATTGGTTTTCTGTTCCAGACCAGTGTTTTCTTTGGCGATGCTGGCTTTGGATTGGGAGTCAGTGAGGTGAAGGTAGCGGATAGCAGCCATCAACACTTCAGTTTGTACCATCATAATAGGTGATGCAAAGCATGACAGCAGGTCACATAACAATTTGAGGGGTAGAACTTTGGTTTTTTTCCAGTCTGAATCACATTTTGTCTGTGAACTGGTTGGGAAAGGAATTACCCTAAAAGAAGAAAAGGAAGGAAAAATTAAAAAAATAAAAGGAAGGAAAAGAAGAGGAAAGATGGTTAATAAAAATAAATAACAGCTGTCCACACTACCCCATATGATTGAGTTGTCAAGCGATTTCTCATGTGAAGAAACAGTCAAAATAACCTTAAAGCCTTCATTAGCTTTTACTAAAGATTCCATTGCTGGTGAGATGCTCATACCTGGCTTTCCATTAAGCTCTGAGGCGGCGGCCATCTTGCTGCCCTTGTGGGAAAAAGGCAGAAGGGAGCAACACACTTTCCCTCCCAGGGAGACATGGCGCCATAGTTTAATGCATGGTCCATTCACTTTTCTGCCACAAGCTGCCAGGCTCTGGATTAAGTCCTTTTGCCTCTGGAGCCATGGCCGTGCCGGAGAGCCGCTGAGGGGTAACTCATGACCTCAGTAGGACGTGAAGGACAAGCTGGTACCACCCCCCTTCCCATGATACTGCAGTTGCCCCATCACTGCCGGCTCACACCTGGCTTTCCAATAAGCTCTGAGGCAGCAGCCACCTTGCTACCAGCGGGGAAAAAGGTGGAAAGGAGCAACACCCTTTCCCTCCCAGGGAGACATGTCGCCGTAGTTTAATGCATGGTCCATTCACTTTTCTGCCGCAAGCTGCCGGGCTCTGGATTAAGTCCTTTTGCCTCTGGTGCCATGGCGGTGCCAGAGAGCCACTTGTGGGTGGCAACTCATGACCTCGGTAGGGCATGAAAGTGGAGGAATCAAACCCAGGTAAGCCGCATATATATATAAATTTATAAATATTTTTCATATATAAATTTATATATATTTTAATATATATAGGGGCTGGAGTCATAGCGCAGCGGGTAGGGCGTTTGCCTTGCACACAGCCAACCTTGGTTCAATTCCCAGCATCCCATATGGTCCCTTGAGCACTGCCAGGAGTAATTCCTGAGTGCAGAGACAGGAGTAACCTCTGTGCATTGCCAGGTATGACTCAAAAATTAAAAGAGTCCTTTTAATTTACATTTTTCAAAAAATAAAAAATTACTCTGAAACATTAACTTAACTATGATCTACAAAGTTATTGATAGTTGAGTTTTAGACCTATAATTTCCTTGCACTAATTCCACCACCAGTATCAACTTCTCTCCACTAGTGTTCCCCTGTTTCTCCCGCCCACTCCCCCCTCCCAAACCTGCCACCTTTTCAGGCATGTTTTAAAGTTTAATTGTTGTCATTTTGATCTCATATTTTCAGTCGTTGACTCTGTAGTTCGGATAGCATACTAATTCACCATATTTCCCCTGCAACCTAATTACTTTCCTTTCTCATCTCCCTTTGATATTTTTCCTTCTCTGTCCTCTCTATACTATGAAGTCAAAGGTTGATCTAGGCATCTCCTATTTATTATATTGCATTCCCTTGTCTAGTTATTCTGTATACTTCAGATAACTGAGATCATTCTGTGTGTCCTTCCTCTGGCTTATTTCGGTCAACTTATCTTCCAGTTCATCCAAGTTCCAGCAAATTGCATGATTCCATCCTTCCTTGCAGTTGCATGGTATTCCATTGTGTACATATACCACATCTTCATAGTCCATTCATTTGTTGTTGAACACCTGGGTTGATTCTATGTCTTAGCTATTGAATTTAAGTGCTGCAATGGATAATGGCGTATGTGTCCTTTTAAATGAATGATTAATGTTTTGTGTCCATTTTTCAAGGTTTTATTTGTTGGGCCACACCCAGCAGTGATCAGAACTTTCTTTTGGCTCTGCACTCAGGGATATCTGGTGAGGCTTGGGGGAACCTATAGAATGCGAGGGATTGAACCCAGATCATCTGTGTGCTAAGCAACTGCCCTACCCACTGTATTATGACTCCAGCCCTTAGCTAAATTTTTAAAAGGTTGTAGGTATGCATTTGGAACTGTGCGCCAGACTGTGAGGAGTGTGAGAGCCCTCCCCACCCAAGGGACCCAGCCCTGGCAGCCAACCTCCATTGCCCAACCACTGCCATGCTCCAGGCCGCTTTCCGAATGCTCAGGCTGAGCCTCACGCAAGAATGAAGTTTCACAAAACCCAGATAATGTGGAACTTTGTGACCTTGGATTCTGGACTCAACAGGACCTGGAACAGAGATCCTCTGCCTGCCTGCTTCCCCCAGTCTCTGGTGACTCAGGGATCACCCTCTAAGCCA